CATGATGCAGGACCAGAAGCCTTACTGAAGTCAAGGGATAGCACATCTACTGCTTTCCCTCTTTCCACGATGCGTGTTACCCTGCCAAAGGAGGGTACTAGGCGGGTTTGACAAGTTTTTCTTGGCAGGCCGATATTTACTGTTACTTATCACCGTATTTCCTTCAAGGTGCTTACAGGCTGACTATTTGCTCTATTATCTTTCCAGGCACAGAAGTTAGGTTGGTTGATCTGTATTTCCCTGGGTTGTCCTTAGTCCTCTTTTTAGAGATGGATACTATATTTGTTCCTTTTCAGTCCCCTCAGATCTCTCCCGTCCTCCTCCAGTTCTCAAAGATAATTGCTAATGACTCAGATTTCTTCAGCCAGTTCCTTACGCATGTTAAGAAGTTCACTTGGCCCTGCCCATTTGAGGTCATCCAGCTTGTCTAAGTAAATTCCTAACTTGCTCTTTTCCTATTTTGGCCTCACATGCTGCCCCCTTTATGCTGATGTTTGCTGTGCTCGTTATCTAGTCACTGCTAAAGTTTTGGGTGAAAACAGAAACCAACGAGTCATTAACACACTTTGGCCACTGGTGCGTTTTCTGTTGGTGTCTTTTTCTTCTTCTTGAGTAACGGGACTGCCCTGCTCTTGGGCCTTCTCTTGCTTTTCAAAGAAGTGTAAAATGCTTTCATAGAAGCATAGAACCCCAGGGCTGGACGAGACCTCAGGAATCATCGAGTCCAGATCCCTGCCCAAAGCAGGACCAACCTCAACCTAGACCTCCCCCACTGCAACTTGAGCCCATTGCTCCTCGTTCTGTCAGCTGCCACCACTGAGAACAGCCTCTCTGGAACCCCCCTTCAGGTAGTTGAAAGCTGCTACCAATTCCCCCCTCACTTTTTTCTTCTGCAGACTAAGTAAGCCCAGATTCCTCAGCCTCTCCTTGTAGGTCATGTGCTCCAGCCCCCTCATCATTTTGGTTGCCCTCCGCTGGACCCTCTCCAATGCGTCCACATCCTTTCGATAGTGGGGGGGCCCAGAACTGGACACAATATTTCAGATGTGGCCTCACCAGAGCTGAATAAAGGGGAATAATCACTTCTCTAGATTTGCTGGCAATGTTTCTCCTAATGCACCCCAATATGCTGTTAGCTTTCCATTGACTCATAGCCAGCTTCTCTCATCCTTGGCAATCCCCAGGTCCTTTTCTGCTGAACTGCTACTTCGCCATTTGGTCCCCAGCCTGTACCAATGCTTGGGATTCTTCTGTCCCAAGTGCAGGACTCTGCACTTGTCCTTGTTGAACCTCATCAGATTTCATTTGTCTCAATCCTCCAGTTTGTCTAGGGATGCTTTCTTGTTGCTCTTTCTGTCAGGGTTAGTGTTGAGAGAAGACAACTGAGGGGGGGACCTGATAAGTCTTCAGGTCATGAAGAGGACAAGGATCAAGTATTCTCCATGTCCTCTGAAGGTGGGGAACGCAGGAACGGGCTTAGTCTGCAGCAAGAGAGACTTGTGCTTGAGAGGAAGCCTGTCTTTCTGTGCGGATGGTTATGCTCTGGAACAGGGAGCCAAGAGAGATTGTGAAATCCCTGTCACTGGAGGTTGGACCATGGATGTCGGCACAGAGGGGGCCCAAAGGCCACTGCCCTCCCACTTTTTACCATGTGCCGGAGCCCCACCCTTCCTTACCCACCTCCAGGCCCTGTGTCCCAGACAGAACTTGGCATGGGTAACGGTAGTCCAGGAAGCCTGAGCAGCTGTAAGGTAGCCACAGACACACACCCCCAGCCCATGTTTCCACACGCCCCTGGATCGCCCATCCACTGCAGGGGGAGGGTCCACGGCTCCCCATTGCTCCCAGTGGCTCTTATCATGGCGAGAAGCTGGAGCCAGGTCAAGGTAAGATCCACACAGCCAAATATGAGGCTGCCACCCCACCATCTGCCCTAGGGAGGGATCTGGAGAGCAAGGACACAGGCTGGAGGCTGCTCTTGGGCCCCACTGTCATGATTCCATCTTGGCTGGGGGGGCAGGGTCTTGGGGAAAGAGGCAGGTCGGAGGGAGGGCCATGGAGTGGCGGTGTGTCATGGGGACCCCACTTTTAGGAAGAATTCATTGCCCCGGGCCTGGACCCCCCCGTCAGGGACAAAGGAAGTTCCATGGTCTGCCTCAGCTCAGGTGGCCGGCCTTGAACTCCTGAGGTCCCTTCCAGCCCTACAATTCTATGTTTCTCCTTACCTCCCGCTTGCCACGGAGGCAGACGGGTTTGAAAACGTGGACAGGTGTTCCCTGGGACGTGGACTGAGAGCACTCGCTCATCTCCTGCGGGCTGGCCACATTGTGTCACCACTGACCTCTAGCCAGGGTCACAGTCACACCCAGGTAGACACACGAAAGGCTTCTCGGCAAGGCCCATTCTTTGCTCAGCAGTCAGTAGGGCAACAGTGCCGTAGCAGGGGAGACACTGGCTGTGGTGCATTTCCTGTAACTTGTTTGAAACACATTTGACAGAGTCCCAAACACCCTGCAAGCCAGGCAGGGAGAACAGAGACGAGGAGGTACCCTCCCACCCAAATATTGTTACTTTCCATAAATGATATATGGGAGTGGCCTGTTCAGTTGAAACTGGCCAGCTCTTGCCATTTGGAATGTGTAAAGAAAATGTGTATAGTAAGGAGAAGACTTACCTGGCATTGCTTGGGCCTTTCAGGACAGGGGGCTGTGGAGCAGGGGGCTGAAGGAGTCAGGTTGGGGGGTGAGGAGGAGCTCAGGGCAGGGGGTTGGGGTGCAGGAGCCAGGGTGGGGGGGTTGGGAGGTGTGTGAGAGAGGTGGCCTCAGGGCACACAGCCTGCTCACCTGCTTCTCCCTGGGGCTAACCCAGACTAGCGGGGGCCATGCTAGCTGGCCAGCAGCTGCCCTGGGCTGCTACCTGGGGCTGGGGCACTTTCTGCCCCCTGTAGTCATTCTAGGTATAAGCGTCCCCTTGCTTGCTGCCCCCTGGTGGTCACGTGTGAGTATAGCTGTCCCTGCTAACACAGTCCTCCCTTTCCCTTTGAGAAACAATCCGAGTCCAGGCACATCCTATTGGCCTGGCACAGCCAAACCCTGCCCTTGCTTTACGTTATAATACGAGGAAGCTGCCGCTTGTGGTGGCCCTAGCACTTACTGTTTAGGGGGAGTTCTTGACCAAACAGACTCAGACAGACGGATGATGGGCTTTCTTATGCATCACGCAGGCTGGCAGACGCACAAACTCTCCAAAGGATAGCAGTCGATACATCAGAAAAGGAGAGCCAGGAATGGAAGAAATGGCTCCTGGAATGGTTACCCTCCACAAAGAGTCATTGGCTTGGTCTGTGC